TCCGTGTGACAGTCACTGACTGTCCGCCGTCCGTGTGAGAGTCACTGACCGTCCGCCGTCCATGTGAAAGTCAATGAGAGTCCACCGTCCGTGTGCAAGTCACTGACCGTCCGCCGTCCATGTGAGAGTCACTGAGTGTCCGCCGTCCGTGTGAGAGCCACTGACTGTCCACCGTCCGTGTGAGAGTCACTGTCCGTCCGCCATCCGTGTGAGAGTCACTGAGTGTCCGCCGTCCGTGTGCAAGTCACTGAGAGTCCGTCGTCCATGTGAGAGTCAATGAGAGTCCACCGTCTGTGTGAAAGTCACTAATGTCCACTGTTCGTGTGAAAGTCACCGACTGTCCATCGTCCGTGTGAAAGCCACCGAGTGTCCGCCGTCCGTGTGAAAGTCACTAATGTCCACTGTCCGTGTGAAAGTCACGGACTGTCCACTGTCCTTGTGAAGCCGGGGGAAGGGAGCTTGGTGGATATTAAGGTATAAAGTTCTCCATCCTTGGCTAACCCCTGAGGTTCCTGCTGGGCAAAAGCTGACGATTTCTTCAAGTATGGTTCTCATCAAGGTCCGTTTTGCTGATTTGTTTTCAGTGAGTTTGCCTGGCATTCAGGGCTCCTCACAGTTTTGCTTCAGGCTACCTGTTCCAGGCCATTCTGCTCCCGTTTTTCGTTTTCTGTATTTCACGCCCTCTGGACACACCACCTCCGCGTCTTGGTCCAGGATGGCTCCTCGGGCTCTTTATCTGATGAATGTCCCTCCCGAAGGCCCGGCGCTCGGAAGCTGTTCTCCCCGGCGGTCCTCGCCCACCCAGCCTGCCTGGAAGGCCCGGTGCTTCTGCTCGCAGGGACCGTTTATCCTGCCCGCGGTTACATAACTTTCGAGCATTGTTGTTGAAAGTTTCCATGTGTCCATGTTGTCTCTCCCGCTGGCTGGGATGTCCATTTACGGTCAGGACAGCCACTTACCCTCTGCGTCCCCCTGGCGCGCAGCCTGAGCCTGTGGGACAGGGAGGTAGGCGCTGGGCGGCTGGGTTCAGAGCACCCGGAGGCACTCGCTCTTCTGACCCACAGGGGCAGGACAGTGACCTCAGGCTTCGGGAGCAGGGGGTTATCTAGCTGCAGGGGCCACGGATTCTCTCCAGGGGTAGGTGTCGTTTACCTACTGGCTGTAGGGCTTTGGACCTGGGAAACCAAGGCCTGTGACCCAGTCTCAGCCTGCTCACACATGCCCTGTGCCGGTGACTAACAGCGTGGAGCTGACCACATGGCGATACCCTGTCTCCCTGTGCACACGCCCCGGGCGGGCATCAGTGGTGTTACCAGGTTCATGGGGAGGCCACAGCAGAGGTGTGGTTTAAAAACTGTTGCAAAAATATGTCTTTTAGAGAGAAAGAAAATTAGGAATCTGGTAAAAAAAAAAAAAAAATCTAATAATTACATTTTTAAAGAAATACTTTTTAAAATTGATTTTTAGAGAGAGAGAAAGGGAGAGGGAGAGGGAGAGAGAAACACTGATGTGAGATAGTAACATCCATCAGCTGCCTCCTGCACAACCGCACAACTGGGCATGTGCCGTGACCAGGAATCACTCCGGCCACCCCCAGGCCCATGGATGACACCCAACCAACGAGCCACATGGGCCAGGACACCAATAATTCTTTGTACTATTTTTATAACTTTTCTGTAAATCTAAAAGCATATCAGAATTCTATATAATGAAAAGGTAATATGCAAATTGACCCTCACACAAGATGGCTTTCCCATGTGGTCAAAGATGGCTGCTACAAGATGTCTGGCAGGGAGAGTAGTTGTGGGCTATCAGGACAGCAGAAGAGGGCAGTTGGGGCGTGTGGAGGAACCAGGCCTGCAGGGGAGGGCAGTTGGGGTGACCAGGCCAGCAGGTGAGGGCTGTTAGGGGTGACCATGCCTGCAGGGGAGGGCAGGTAGGGAGACCAGACCTGTAGGGGAGGGCAATTAGAGGTGACTGGGTGGGCAGGGGAGGGCATTTGGGGAGGACCAGGACTGCAGGGGAGGGCATTTTGGGGTGATCAGATTGGAAGTGGAGGGCAGTTGTGGGTGACTGGGCCTGAGGACAGTTAAGGGCAACTAGGCTGGCAGGGGAGGGAAGTTAGGCATTGATCAGGCTGGCAGGGGAGTGGTTAGGGGGTGATCAGGCTGGCAACAGGCAGGCGAGTGGCTGAAAGCCAGCAATCCCAGATTGTGAGAGGGATGTCCGATTGCCGGTTTTGGCCTGATCCCACAGTTGGACATCCCCCAAAGAGTCCCAGATCGGAGAGGGTGCAGGCTGGGCTGAGGGTCACCCCCCACCCCTGTGCACTGGGCCTCTAGTATTAAATAATATTTTAAAGCAGAAACAACAAAAGCCACCTTCCTCAGCCTTTAAGAAGAATTAACATTTTAACACATTCATATACAAATTATATCTGTGAATATTTCTCCTATTAAACAGGAAGTGTAACTTGGAAAATGGAAGTACTCAAAGAGCACTTTTAAATGTTTTATAACATAAAAGGGTATTTTAGGATGTTAATATTGTAATGGGGTTTTAATTCTGTATGATCCGGAGCCAGACATTTAACCTCTCTAGGTTTCAGTTTCCTCTTCTTTAACAAGTGAATTAAAATGCCCATCCCTGAGCATTGTCATAGGTATTAAACAGAAAGTTAAATGTGAAACAATTAGTATAATTCCTGCTTCATAGCTAGTGCCATGACACACTAGTCCAATGGTTAGGAAATGTTGAAAACTGAGTGCTCTCCTCTGGCCTGGCCACAGGGAAACCATCTGGAGCCCAGTGGCTGCCTAAGGAATCATTAGCCGGAGGCCAGAGACGGTGTTGCAAACAGCCTTCTGTGACTTCCTGTCTCCAGGCCTCTGCCTTCCTCGCCTGTGAAATGGGCTGGTTTTCATCACAATCAGAGGACTAGTTAGAGAGGACGATGGAGGCAAGACGCTGGGGTCTAAGACCCTTGGCGAAAGGCCTGGAACACTGGGCAGATCTGAGAGCAGCAGCCTGCTGGCGGGGAGTTCATCTCACAGCAGCAGCTTCTGAGCGCGGGGCTGGTGCGGGGCTGGTGCGGGGCTGGTGCGGGGCTGGTGCGGGGGCTGGTGCGGGGGGGAGCACCCTCTCAGGCCTCAGTGTGGCCCGGGAGGAGCCTCTGCGTGGGGACATCCAGGGGCTGAGGTCTGAGAGCCCGGACAGTGTGCACACACCAGCTGGAGCTGGAGCTGGGGCGGCTGAGACCCGAGCACCGGTCACTGCCCCACTGCCCGTCCATCCCCTCCCGCTGGTCCTCAAGGATGGACTCAGGACCTCCCACCCAGACCCCTACTGGGCGACCCTGGAGACTGGGGCACAAGCTGGCCTGGGGGGCAGGCGAGCCCTCTGCCTCCTGCTCCCTCTGCCTCCTGCTCCCCCTGCCTCCTGCTCCCCCTGCTTCCTGCTCCCCCTGCCTCCTGCTCCCTCTGCCTCCTGCTCCCCCTGCCTCCTGCTCCCCCTGCCTCCTGCTCCCCCTGCCTCCTGCTCCCCCTGCCTCCTGCTCCCCCTGCCTCATCCTCTCCCTGCCTCCAGCTCCCCCTGCCTCCCGCTCCCCCTGACTCCCTCTCCCCCTGCCTCCTGCTCCCTCTGCCTCATCCTCTCCCTGCCTCCTGCTCCCCCTGCCTCCTGCTCCCCCTGCCTCCTGCTCCCCCTGCCTCATCCTCTCCCTGCCTCCTGCTCCCTCTGCCTCCTGCTTCCCCTGCCTCCTGCTCCCCCTGCCTCAACCTCTCCCTGCCTCCTGCTCCCCCTGCCTCAACCTCTCCCTGCCTCCTGCTCCCCCTGCCTCCTGCTCCCCCAGCCTCCTGCTCCCCCTGCCTCCTGCTCCCCCTGCCTCAACCTCTCCCTGCCTCCTGCTCCCCCTGCCTCCTGCTCCCCCTGCCTCCTGCTCCCCCTGCCTCCTGCTCCCCCTGCCTCATCCTCTCCCTGCCTCCAGCTCCCCCTGCCTCCCGCTCCCCCTGACTCCCTCTCCCCCTGCCTCCTGCTCCCTCTGCCTCATCCTCTCCCTGCCTCCTGCTCCCCCTGCCTCCTGCTCCCCCTGCCTCCTGCTCCCCCTGCCTCCTGCTCCCCCTGCTCATCCTCTCCCTGCCTCCAGCTCCCCTGCCTCCCGCTCCCCCTGCCTCCCTCTCCCCCTGCCTCCTGCTCCCTCTGCCTCATCCTCTCCCTGCCTCCTGCTCCCTCTGCCTCCCGCTCGCTCCCCTTGCCTCCCGCTCGCTCCCCTTGCCTCCCGCTCCCCCTGCCTCCCGCCCCCTCTGCCTCCTGCTCCCGTGCCTCTTGCTCTCTCTGGAGACTGCAGTGCGTACTGGCCGGGCCCAGGCATGCAGTTTGCTCCAGGGTTTCCAAGAACAGAGTCCGACCCAGCAGGGCCAGCTCAGCACTAGGGATCTGAGTGGGTCCTGGCGGAGACCCCAGGAGCCCACACGAAAGGCGAGGCCTCGGGGAAGGTGGCTGCAGGGACAGAGCGAGGGGACAGCCGCCCGCTGCCCGGGCTCAGTCTGCGTGGTCGGTTGGTCGGTTGTTCTGCACTTTGCTGCCGCCCAAACCAGATGGGGCCGGGAGAGGGGAGCCGCAGGAGAATTTTAATGAGAGAGAGAGAGAGAGAGAGAGAGAGAGAGAGAGAGAGAGAGAGAGAGAGAGAGAGAGAGAGAGAGAGAGAGAGAGAGAGAGAGAGAGAGAGAGAGAGAAGAGAGAAGAGCGGAAAAGAGGTTGTAAGAGGAGTGGAAGCAGAGAGTCTGAGCGAGAAAAAGATGCTAGACAGACAGGGAGGTCCCAGGCGAAAAGAGCAGCCTGCAGGGCCTCGGCCCGGCCTTAGCCGAGGGTCCCCGCTTTCCTCGCGCCCCGCTTCCCGCGCCCCGCGCCCCGGTGGGCCTGGGCCCGCTCCCCCCGTGCACCCCGAGGCGGGAGGCGGGGCGGGAGGGAGGGGCTGCGGGAGGAGGCGGCCATGTGGTTGCACTCGCTCTATTTTTTCTCCTTTCTTCGCTCCTTCTTTCCAAACAGGGAGACGTGTTCCCGGAGGTAGCGCCTTCCGCCGCTCCCCGCCCGGGCTCCGCTCCCATCTGGGCGCGGGCCGGGGCGCCGAAGCCCCCGCGGCGGCACAGGCCGCCCGCCCCCCGCCGCCCCGCAGCCTCGCCGCGCTCCGCCGGGATGGCCCCGCTCCTGCTCTGGCTGGGTGAGTGCCGGGGGCCGGGGGCCGGGGGCCGGGGGGCGCGGGGCGCGGGGCGCGGGGCAGGGACCGGAGTCGCCGCGCCGGAGGGACGCGGCGCCGGACGGCCGTCCAGGAGGCAGCCGCCTCCCCCCGCGCCGCTGGGGCACATCTGGCGGGGCGGGCTCCGGCTGCGGTCCCCGTCCAGCGCGGCCGCACCGTGGGCGGCGGAGGGTCTGCGCTCCTGAGGGCGTCGTCCCGGAGCGGCTGGGTGCTGGGTGGGTGGGGTGGGGGTGGAGGTGGGGTGCGGTGGGGGGAGAGAGGTATGGGGAGTTGGTGCCAGGTTCCTGAGGCTGGGGGAGGGTTAGTTTCAAACAGGCGCCTCCAGGGCCCAGATTGGAAACAGATGTGTTGCAGGGTCAGAGGGAGGGAAGGGGAGCGGCGGGAGGGGAAGGAGGGAGGGAGGCCGGGCACCAGGAGAGCCAGGAGGCCGGGACGGGGAAGGACGGGGCGGAGGGACCGAAAAGCGGAGGAAGGGACAGGACTGAGGGGAGTGAGCCGGACAGTGGGGAGAGACAGGCCGCAGGGAGCAGAGAGGAGAATGGGGAGCGGTTCTGGGGCAACGGAAGCGCCGCCAGCGCCCCTGTCACCAGCAGGATTCCTGAGGCGAGGCCAGAGGCATCGGGGGTTGCAGGGCGGAGGGGGCTGCAGGGCGGAGGGGGCTGCAGGGCGGGGGGCACTGCAGGGTGGAGGGGACTGCAGGGCGGGGGGGGGGCGCTGTTTGCAAGGCGGAGGGGGCTGCAGGGCGGAGGTACAGCACACATCCAGAGGCAGGAGCTGAGGGGTTGGGGGGTTGGGAGGGTGGGGGCTGTGAATGTCTGAGATGCCAGGGCCCAGTGGCAGGAAAAACAGGAGAAACTCGCTTATGCAGGAGCCAAGTGGGTCTCACCCAGAGACAGGACCAAAGTCAGCCAGGACTCAGAAAGGCGGAGCCAGCCACTGTGGTCCAGTGAGCTAAGCCCTGCCCCCAGACCCCCAGAGACCTGGTCTTGACCTGACCATCGGGGTGACCTCAGACAGGCTATTCACTACCTGGGCCTTCGGTTTCCTTGGCTCCAAACAGGACCCAGAAGGGTCCCTAGTCCCTCCGGGGCCCCACGGCCTCACAGCCTGCGTCACCGGGGCTGACAGGCCTGATGTCCGGAACCCCTCCTTTGACTGCCACCCCAGCCTCCCCTGGAGCTCAGGGCCTCACTCTCCACCTGAGCTTTCCTCCTGGACTTCCGTGAGAGCTGCCGCGTCGATCTGGACCCTCTCTCCTCTTCCCTGCACGCTGCGACCGGCAACCGTGCAGAACAGCTGGTATAAAGCAAGGAATTTGGATTAGGAATCTGGCAAGCTTTCTTGGTTCTTGTTCTGGCTCCTTTGTCTATCAAATGGGGGTGGAGAGAACTTGCGTTCAAAATTTCTATAATTCTGTGATTTCACTCCACTCATCTTAAACCTGTATTAGTCTCCATTGCTCCTAATGCTGAGTACAAACGCTGCATTCTCACACTGAAGTTTCACAGGATAACAGGGCCCAGTGCACATGTTTGTGCACCTTGAAAGGAAAGGTGGTCAGGAGGCTGTGGTGGGCACAGGGCGGGTTTGCCCATCCTCCACGCCGCCGCCTGGCCCCTCCCACCGCTGCCCCTGGTCCCCTGTTTGCCCGCAGCCCCGTTCCTGCCATCGCTACTCCCACGTGCTGCCAGCACCAGGCCCTGCTAGCACCCGCTGACCACGTGGAGTGATCTGGAGTGATCGGGGCAGGCGCCAGCAGCATCAGTGAGTGCAAGCACCCGCTGCTGCCCCCATCGCCCCTCAGGAACAGGGGGAGGTGGAGAAGCCCTCAGGGGTGATCAGGGCCAGCAGCTGCCGCTCACACCCACTGATGGAGTCAAGCAATCGGGACCGGTGCTGGACACAGGAAGAGGGTGCAAGCGGCGGCTTAGGCACTGGCTGGGGGTGTGAGTGCCAGGCAGGACCGTGGCACACAGGAGCAAAGAATTTTCAGGAATCACCGGAAGCTCACTCTGATGACAATGACTGGTGTCCTACCTTGGTCTGGCACCCCTGCTCACCTGCTCCACCATCCCGCTGCGGCTGACGCCCGCCATGTTCCTCGCTCTGCTGCCTGCTGCCAATGCCTACCATGTTCCATTTGCATGCCCTGGTGGTCAGTGCACATCATAGCGACTGGTTGTTCAGTCTATTTGCATATTAGGGTTTTATATGCACCCAGAGGCCTGGAGCAGGGGGAGGGCCTCAACTGGCCTGTGCCCTCTCTCAGACTGGGACCCTTTGGGGGATGTCTGCCTGCCGGCTTGGGCCCAATACCCCTAGAGACCAGGCCTACGCTGGCAGGCAGATATCCCTCTCGCAGTCCAGGGCTCTCGTAGTCTGGGACCCCTCGCTCCATGCTGCCTCCCTGCACGGAGGCTCCCGCCACCGCCACGGTGCTTGCCAGCTGTGAGCTCAGCTCGGGGCTTCTGGCTGAGTGGCGTCTCCCTGTGGGAATGCATCTGCCCCCGGTGGTCAGTGCACGTCCTAGGGACTGGTCATTTTGCCATTCGGCCGATTTGCATATTAGGGTGTTATTCTATAGGATCATTCCTCTCCTCTCCTCCCTGCCTCCAGACAATTCTCCAGAGAACCTCGATTTCTTCTTGTGCCCTAACCATGTCGTGTGCTGTGTTTATAGTCATTCCTCCGCCAAAAGGGCCCTGTGACTCTCTACCCTACAGATCAAAATGTTGTTTACCCTCCAGGTCTCACCTCACACGCCACCCCCTCCAAATGCCCGTCCATGGTTTCACCAGCAGAATCTATTCCTTCCTCTCTTGGGATCCAGTAGCCTTCTAGTCTGCTACCTCTGCAGCATTCTGGCCTGAATGCATATCTCACACCCCCCCGGTAGACTGTCTGCTCCGGGTCTCACTCGCCTGTGCGCCACTTTTCCCATTTACATAGACAAAATGCCTGTGAACTATTTGTTGAGATAATTGGATTTTTGGAACGTTTTAAAGGTGAAAGAGTTGAAGAATTATTCATCTGTGGGATGATACACTTGTGAGGAGCCCAGTTTTAATTCAGCTTGTTTTGCGTTTTCTTGTCCATTAATGCAAAAATAGGATCAGGACTATTTTCTTTTTTAATTATACATAGAACAGCCCTAGCTGATTTGGCTCAGTGGATAGAGTGTCAGCCTGTGGACTGAGTGGTCCTGGGTTTGATTCTGGGTAAGGGCACATGTCTGCATTGTGGCTCAATCCCTAGTGAGGGGGCTTGCAGGAGGCAGCTGATCAATGATTCTTTCTCATCATTGATGTTTCTGTCTCTCCTTCTCTGAAATCAATAAAAATATATGTTTTAAAAAGGTTCTTCTGTGCCCTAGGTCACAAAGATTAAATTGTGTGTGTGTGTGTGTGTGTGTGTGTGTGTGTGTGTAAACATTACATGGACAGGGACCAGCTATCATATTTGTTATACAAACTTTGTTATATTGGGTATGTTACTACCGGATTAACAATAGACATTTTCGTTGAAACTTCTGCCAGGCTGGGAAGGAGCTTTCTCCCTAACAACGAGTTAAGGAAAGCTTGGATGTGTAGTCCATTGGTCTGCAGTTTAATGGCAGGTCTCAGTAGGATTCTATGTCTTGCCTCATCTTCCCACATTAATGAGGATGGCCATAATAATGATAGGTTCCCAGTAGGCACATACCTCGTCTCATCCTATTTTTGTCTTGTGCTCAGCTGAGCAGTGCGCATAAATGAGTCTAGTTCCTGAGTGCGCCTAGTGCTGATGGCCTGGACAGACAGTTTAAAAGGTGGCGTCAGGGACTGTCAGAAGAGGGAAAAGGAAGGGACTGTGTGCCTCGGTGGCTCAGAGCGATTCGGCCGAAGTTAAACAGCGCGCTCAGTAGGGGGGCCAGACGATGTGCCCAGTCACACATTCTTGAAATAGAAGATCTCTCCCTCCTCTTCAGCTCACAGAGTTCACAGTTGCTCTTCAGAAGCTGCAGTAAATGAGCCAAACGCTGAATAATTGGCACCGGCTTTTATGTTGAGAAATTGCCTGAAAAATAGGGCAGATGTTGTAACATCTCCGTTTGGCCATCGCGGCTGGAAATCCTGGAAACTCCGCAGTGCCCTGGTGTCTGCCGCTCTCCGGGGGGAAAGAGAGGACCCCGAGGATGTGGGGGTGGGGGTGCCCTTACAAGGAGCAGAGTGGAAACCCCGTGGCGCTGGCTCCTTCCTAATGGCGCGGGGTTATTCTGGGGAAGCCATGCCACTCGGATCCCCAGGTGCTGTCCTCTTCCTTGTGGAACGAGGTCATCAGACGCAGGTTATCTTGGGTTTCCTGGGCCACGAGCATCCTCTGAGGGTGTTTTAAACTCTGAGACTGTGCGGCTGGTCCGGATGTGGTTGTGACGGGAGGCACGTACGTGTCACCTTATCTAAATAGTCTCGGGCGCTTGTCCACTCGTGGCAATTAGTAACCTGTGACTAACAGGCCGGCAGGACCGATGCCTAATGTGAAGAGGGCAGCAGCGACTCCATCCGGCACTGCACTGGCAGCCAGGGAGCCTCGCTCAGGATCAGAGGGGGTGGCCAGAGACCTGCCAGGAAGGTTAGTAGCTGAAACACGAGCCTCATCTGCGGGACAGCCACAGGGCACCTACAGACATCCGGGCATGGACACCCAGGACAGACAGACTTCTGCAGAGAGAGTCCAGTGGTGAAGCTACAGGCATTAAGCACGTTTCTCAATTTTAAAATGAGGGCATAGTTTATGTATCACGGTGTGTATCCATGAAGGACACAGCGTGATGGGTTCCTCTTGTAGACGTGCACTGGGGCTGGGATTTGAAATGTGAACTGCAGGCTGTTAGTTCACTGGTAGCGCCGGAGAGGGGACTGCGTGGACCGTGACATCTGCACAAGGTTTAGCGTTGGCATGTCTATCTCACCCTGAAACCACCA